AGGGCAACTGAATAAAATAAGGAATGAAGTTCGATCCCTACTTCATACCATATACAAATTAACTCAAAATGGAGCAAAGTCCTAAACGTAAGGGCTAAATCTAGAAAACTCTTAGAAGACACATGAAAAAGTCTTTAAACACCAAAGTATGATCCATAAAAGACAAAAAACTCATAAATTTAAATTATAAAAAATAATTTTATTCTGCTAATAGCAGTATGAGGAAAAGAAAACACAAGCCACGAAGTAGGAGAAAATGCTTGTAAAATCACGTATGTGATAAAGGACTTACATCCTGATTATATAAAGAACTCATAGAGTCAGCAATAAGAACATACATGACCTAAATTTTAAGATAGGCAAAAAATCTGGACAGACTTCATCAAAGAAGAAGAAAATAAAAAGATGCTCAACATCATTTTTCATTAGGGAAATGCAAATGAAAACAACAGAATACCATGACACACCTGTTAAAAAGTCTAAAATTCAGAAGGTTGACAGTACTAATTGCTGGTAAGGACACGGTAAGAACTCTCCTTCATTGTGGCAAAATGATACAGTCACATTGGGAGACAATTTGACAGTTTACTGTAAAGTTAAACACAGACTTGCCCTATGATCCAGCAGTCATAAGCCTAGGTATTTACACAAGTGACTTGAAAACTTAGGTCCACACAGAAACCTGTACGTAGTGTCTATAAATGTTTATAGCACCCTTATCCATGTTCATCAAAAACTGGAAAACAGGCATCCATAGCTTGGTGGGTAGGGGGCACTGGCCATATACACCAGGGCTGGCGGGTTCAAACCTGGCTTGGGCCTGACAAACAACAAGGACAACTACAACAAGAAAAATAGCCTGGCTTTGAGTCCCAGCTACTTGGGAGGCTGAGGCAAGAGAATCACTTAAGCTCAAGAGTTGGAGGTTGCTGTGAGCTGTGATGCTATAGCACTCTACCCAGGGTGACATAATGAGACTCTGTTTCACACCCCCCCCAAAAAAAAGACTGGAAACAACCAAGATGTTCTTCAACAGGTGAATGGACAAATACTGGTTAATTCAGGCAATGGAATATTATATGGTGCTAGTGACAGAAAGAAACAAGCGAGCAAGTTCTAAAAAGATAAGGAAGAAGTTTAAATGTATGTTGCTGAGTGAAAGAAGCATTCTGAAAAGGACACACACTGTATGACTCCAATTATATGGCCTCTAGAAAAGACAAAATGAAAGAGATGGCCCAGGCGAGATGCCTTGCACCTTGTAAGCCCAGCATTTTGGGAGGCTGAAGCGAGAGGATCACCTGAGGCCAGGAATTTGAGACCAGCTTGAGCAACAGAGGGAGACCCTGTCTCTATAAAAACTTGAAAAAAAATTAACCAGGTGGGTGGTGTGCACCTGCTGTCCTATTTACTTAGGAGGCTGAGGCAAGAGGATCGCTTGAGCCCAGGAGTTTGAGGTTACAATGAGCTAGGATGATGCTGCTACACTCCAGCCCCAGTGACACAGTGAGACCCTGTCTTAAACAAACTACAGAGAAAGTAAAGAGATCAGATCAGAGTTGCGGGAGGGGCAGTGGCTGGTTACCAAGGGGATGCATGGAAGACCTCAGATGGTGATAGAACTGTTCTGGATGGTGTTTGGGTGGTGGACATAGAACTTATACAACGGTCATAAAACCCATAGAACCATATACTACAAAGAGTGAACTTTAATGTCTGCAAGGAAAAGAATAAAACAAATCATCAATTAGGCAGGAGGAGGAATCCCAGGGTGGAAAGTAGACCGTGGCAAATGAAGGTTGATAAACGAGTGGCATGCCTGTGCTGAGTGGCTGAGGTAGAAAGGAAGAACTGACCTAAGTAATAAGCACCTTGGAAAATGTATTTTGACTGGAAGCTGTAAGGTAAAGACAAAAGACACAAAACAAACACTGGACTGTAGCTGGTAAAGTTGTTTCTCATGGGGGTGTGGACAAATTATTCTTATACTGCTATATAGGCATTTCTGAAGTGAACAAGAAAATAAATGTGTGACAGATAGGAGCCAGGGTTCCCCCTGCCAGAGCGGAAAGTCACAGGGAAGCAAGAAATAAACCCTTTGGTACTGGATTACAGTTGGAGGCATCAGTATGGAGTCATGTATAGGTTAATATGACTACTAATGGTTATTTTTCTACTATAGAAAAATAATTATGGCTACGCATGTATATACGATGTTATGTGTTGAATGTTTATTTATATCCTCTCCCCTAGATTCATATGTTGAAATCTTAACCTCCAATGTGATGGTGTTAGGAGGCAGGGCCTTTGGGAGGTCCTGAGCGTCATAATGGGATTAGGATCCTTGTAAAAAGAGACACCAGATTTTGCCCCCTCTCTACTCTCCACTATATGAGGACACAACAAGACAATAGACCACAGACCAGAATCAGGACTTTCAGTAGACACTGGATCTACCAGCAATTTGATCTTGAACGTCCCAGCTTCTAGAACCATGAGAAATAAATGTCTGTAGTTTAAGGCACCCAGACTATAGCAATTTGTTATAGCAGCCTGAACTAAGAACCACGGGTTAGTATACAGACGTATATTTCTAAACTATTTCCTACCTCTGCCTGATTAGATGGTCTACAAGTAGTGATATCCACCTCACAATGAACCCACTCTGATCTTGATTTCTAGTACCAGCCTCTTCCCTAGGAGAAGGAACATACTGCACTGAACACCCAAGGAAACAGATACAACAGGAGGCAGGGTTTAGGGGAAGTAGTGAATGTGACCAGTGAGTGAGCCTGAGAAGGCACAGGAGGAAAGAATATTAAGGAGGACAAGGTGACCATCAAAGTCAAATGCTGTACAGGTCATGCAGACCAGAAAGCTGAGACCAGCAGGAAATCACTGGGAACACAGAGGCAATAGAGGTTCGAGTGCGTTAAGGTACAGATGATGGGAGTAGGCACCGAAAATGAGGAGCTGAAATTTATTAGCCTCAAGTTTCTCAGTCAAAGTGCTTGGGAACAGAGGCTGTTGGCAGACATGGGGGTACAACCAGAGTCCACGCTAGACAGGAAGGCGGTAAGGGCAGAAAAGGAGGGCTCACAGGCCACCTTCTTAGGGAAAGGCAATAGGACCTATTGATGAAAGACTGAGACAAAATATGGGGCTCCTACAGGGGTAGTAAAAATGTTTTGAGGAAAAACATCCGTAACTGAGAACATCACTTCAGAAATACACTCTAAAAGTACAGCTGAGTCTACATACCTAAGACCCAAGCCTGGAAAATGCATTAATGAGTATTTCCTTTATGCTGAAGCTTATCCAAACGTGCTATTTTGCCTTTGCTCCCAGCTTTAGCAGGCTGTTGTGTAAGGGACAGTGCCTGAGAATCCCCCTGTGTGGCTACTGTGCCTGTGTTTCAGGTTCACACTTGTCCTTTTTCCAGGACCCCTTTTATCTTCATTGCCTGACATCTATAATGACAGAGGGTATAACTTAAGCTAACAATTGATTACTCTTTACGAGAGAAGTTCAAATATGAGCCTAATTAAAGAATTTCCTAACACTTCTTCCTTGCTAAAGCACATACTTTTAATAAGGAAAAGTCCCTGTCATGTCATTCAGACTTTCACTCGTGTGTGCTTACACACACAACTACTGCCCCCCTCTCACCATCTGCAAATACCATTTGTCACCCAGGAGTAATTGGCTAATTTGCTGGGTTTGCCCTTTAAATGTTCCATGTTCTCCTGACACCCGTGAGTTTCATTTAGAGGCTTTTTAGAGCTTTTTACTAGAGATGACACTACCTAGAAAGGCGTTATGAAGGACAAATTTGACCATGGTTCCTTTAATCAAAAGAGAACAGTGTTCTCATGTGAAAGGCAACAATTCTTGTGAGAAAGGAGAAATGCTAGTACCACAGCCTGTGGGGAGCATATCAGGCTTACACCCAGGTACACCCATAACTCATAATGCTTAGAACTTCTTATAACAGAAACTTGCCATCAACTTACCAGCACCGCAGGTTATAACCAAAGAGCTACAACCACAGCTTCCCAGTATAATGTGTTGCTCTAACAACTGCAAGTTACAATACTAACTTGTAAGTCTGGCTAATATTCCCTCCCTCCGTACCATATCAGATCTTGATGCATTCTATGCCAGAAGGCCTAAATCTTTCTTAGTTTTGGGGGTCCTAAAGAGATTTGGCCTTGAAGAAGACATAACTATCTAGGGGCAACATAAGGCAGCCTCTCTGTGCTGAGGGAACACTTCTGCCTCCTGACTAGTGGTGGATACTCAAATCTACATGTGATGACATTTTGTACACCTACACACACCTGCCCACATCTACCTGAATGCATGAAAACTCTGATGAAATCTGAATAAAGTCTGTACCTGACTTAACAGTATTTCCCCCATGTCAATTTTCTGGTTTGGACAATACATTGTGTTTGTTAAGGTTGCCATCAGGGGAAGCTGAGTGAAGAGTACACAGGAACTATTTTTTTTTTAACTTCGTGTGAGTCTTAAGCTATTTTAAAATAAAGAGGTATTTTTAGATTTATCTGACTGGCTACTGGTTGGTCTTTTAAAAACACTCTTGTCATGATGACATTCTTTGCTACACCCATCCCAGAAAAGACAGGCTTTTCAGATTGAGAGAGCTGTTCTCAACGTGTCCCTTGGCCTCCAGTCATTATAACTGGTGCTACCTCAGCAGACAGGTGTTTGCCAGCGTGGAAACATGAACCCATGTAGCACCTTGGCTCAAGAAACAGCAGGGGAAACATGTGACTTTTCCAAGTGGGCTTATAAATCTCCCCTGAAGGTACACAACCCACATCAGTTCAAGTGAACCCAGTTTGCAAGCTGGCATGTCTGGGAGCTACCTCTGACTTCCCAGAGGCTGGGTAAAAACGGCTCAAATAACCCGGTTGTTGTATAATCACCTTCGTAATCTGAGTAAGATGTATATTTGAATGAATGAATGCTCCTACCTTTATTCCTGTCAGGTTTATAACCACCACCCCCTACTATGTCTTCAAGATCCTTGTCTGAAAAACCTGGAGGAAAAAAAAGAAAACATCAACATTTGATGATAAAAATAATTTTTCAGCAAGAAACTTGTGTTAATACTCCCCAACTTTCATAGAAAATGACTTCCAATTCCACTTGAGAATGTCCTTGATGAATTCTAAGAGGGGCCCCAAGATCCCATCTAAATAGCACACATTCCCTCGATAATGCTCTATCACATTGGCTGTGAGTGGGACCACAAAAAGAATGGGTATTCTGTGATTAGGTTGTATTGCATGTCAAAGGTGACGGGATTCTACAAATGTATATAAGGTACTAAATCAGTTTGATGTTGCATTAATCAAAAGATTTCCCCGGGTGGGCATGATTTAATCAAGTGATCCTTTTAAAAATAGGTTTACCCCTTCCCTGACCTTATACATAAAACGGAGTAGGGTGTTTCTGGAATAGGGTGTTTCTCTCCTTCTCTCCTCTCCACCCGCACTCTCTCCCTCTCTCCGGCTGATTTGGAAGAAGCAAGAAGCCATTATTTCTTCAGTTGCTAGGAAATGTACTCTGTCAACAACTACATGAGCTTGGAAGAAGCCAAACCTGAGATGAGACCCCAACCTCCGATGAGACCTCAGCCAGGGTCAATACCTTGACTGCTGCTGTATGAGATCTTAAACAGAAAACTCAGCTCAGCTATCTCTGAACACCTACCCAAAGGAAATTGTGAAATAATAAGTGGGTGCTATCTTAATTCACTCAGTGTCTGATAATTTGTTATGCAGCAACAGAAAACTAATAGGAACAAAACAATTATTAAATTTACCAAAGCTCAACCTTTGAGTACCTGTCTTTTAATATTTTATGTGATGAAATAGAAAGCAAAGCTTAAAGCATTTCTGTTATAGACCAACGTATTAGAGTTGACTTACAAAAGCACTGTGTGATTATTCTAGTTCTAAGTTGTATTAGCTGCTCTGTGTCACAGAAGACCACTTTCATTAAACAATGAATGATGGACAAAGTAGAGTTTTACCAACTTGAATATTTGCCAGATGTTTGCTTGAAAATGAATGAAATGAGCTCATCAATTCAATGAAAACCACTGATGGCATTTTTTGCCAATGATAAGATGGCAAGTAAAAATTAGAATTTTGAAAAACCTAAATCACGACTGTGAGTTTAACAGCTCCCAAATACTTATAGACTTTTTCTAATGAGACGGGTCATGACATAAATACATGTGACTTTTGGTTTCACATAATGAAACATGACATTACTTGGAAGCTCGAAAAACCTCAGGATACCAGTGTGTTTCCAAGTGGCTGAGGCACAACATTACAAAGCCATGTATGAGTGAAAGGACACCTTGAAAGGGCTACAGAGTCCCATGGAACCAAGTGAGGAAAGTTTGCCCATAAAGTTGCACATTCCACACTGTACTCATCCCACAAGGGACAGCCACTGGTTGAGTTGTGGTGTCCTATCAAAAAGTGTCCACACTGATCTGAAAAGCCTTCTGTCTAACAAGGGTACAAGTGAACTTTTGTAGAACTAGAATGTAAATGTTTTGACACAATGACTATGCAAATGACATGAAATTTATGTCAACCATCTTGATGAAAGTATTTCAAAATGTATATGAAAACTCTACACTGTACCCCATGTTTGCATTAATGTATACAGCTATCATTTTAATAAAAAAAAATATCTCTCCCTTTCCCCACTGCATATGGGCGTGAGGCCGGGTTTTCTTCCTACACTTGAACCAAAATGTCATCCCACAACTGAATGGAGACATGGACTTGAGAAGCCAGCTGTCGCCTATAGGAGCAGACAGAGAAATTTGCAGAAGTAGAACATAATGCTGCTCTGCTCACTAGACTGTGTTTTTCTCTTGCCAAGCATAGTTATTTCTTGTAAAAATATGTTACTTTAGTTAAGAGGGAAGGGTTAGTGTTGTTCATTTTAGATTAATAAATGTTTAAAGGTTTTTTCAATCTAAGTCCTAAGATATTGAGAGAGGTGACCCACATCAACCAAAGCTCTTGAGATCCCCAATGATTTGGAGAGTCCTGGGACCACTGAAGTTTAAGGACCACTGTTTCAGGGTTCTCCTGTGGCTGGATGTACCCCAAGCTCTGCCAGGTCCAGAGTGGTCCTGTGGGCTATTGTAGTTCAGAGACAGAACCCGGCTAGGGAGGGACCTGCAGCGCTGCCCCATCGGTGGTTTCAGCCAGTGAGGACTCACCTCCTTGCGCTGTGCTCGGTCTCTTGCGACCATCATCTCGATCATTCCGGTCATCTAAGGCATCAGCCAAGTCAAAATCATTTCCTTCGGGGACCCCAAAATAAAAAAAAAAAAACAGTCAACTAGTTAATCTATGGATACAGCCTTTGGATACTGCCCCAGAAAGAGCTCCATGAGATCCTCCCTTACTGCCCTCTTCAGAGCAGCCACCTTACCTATAGGATTTACTGGAGCTCTGGGGGTTGCTGGCCTCTTGGTTGTTGTTGTGGTGACGCGGTCCCATCTCTCTAAAAAAGGGAGGGAGGACAGCAAAGGAAGCACATTTAGGAACAAAATCCAACAACTACTCTTAGCTCAGGGAAGTCACATCATGAATAGAGTACTCTCGTCTTAGTCCTCAAGGCTCTTGTATGACCTCTCAAGACTCACTTTGAGATGGATGACAGAAGGGTAAGGATTCATATCAGTATCTTTCAATCTTTTTTATCTCACAACACACTTGAATCTATTGAAACTGTAGTTAAAGTTCCATGGCACATTTAAATTATGTTGATCAAAAAAAAAAAAAAGAGAGAGAGAGAGAGAGAAAGAAATATACCTACTGTGCTTTGCATTTCTTTTGAAAATAATTTAATTAATGATCTTTAAAAATTTTAGCAGCACACCCAAGATCCTCTTATGGCACACTGGTTGAAAATCACTGGTTTAAATGATGTGGGTTCTATTCACTATTCTTCAGGGTATGGGGACTGTAAGGCAGATGCAGTCCCACATGTGACCAGGTGAATGATAAAGGTAGGACTTACACCCAGATTTGTGGGTGATGACCACAAATGTACCAGGGAGCTCTAGAGCTTAAATATTACCCTTGAGTTTTCCAGGCCTTGGTTCCACCACTGTGAAACCTGGCACTTAACCATAGATAATGCTGCCCAGGGATGAACTAAGGTTACATTCTCAGTAGAGAAGGGGAGTTATTTTATAAACTGAAAATGGATATAGTAATACATATACAATTTTATGTAAATATGGTTATTATTATAAATATTAGGTCTTTGGGCACAACCAGATTCCTTTAAACATGGAATTTTTTTTACAACAATTTACAAAGCATGGCCTTCACAAGTTTTGCAATTACTCTTCTTGAACTGTTTCTACTATTGAAGTTAATAGAGGTAAAAGGCAGAAACAGTGCTACATACAGCAAGCACCCAGAAGAGAAGTGCAATGTGTGGAGGGGGACTCAATCAATTTTACAGATCAATAATTTCATACCCAAACTGCCCAAGGCCATTTTAAATGCATTGCCTATCATTTTTTGATAGGGCCTCAGTTTTGTCTGTGGATCAAAGAAATGAAGGTCTGACTTTTCTGCAAAGAAAGTGTAAAAAATACAGTAAGTCATAACCCAACAGCTCTTAGTAGGAATAAAGAGGGTTATCACATAGTGATAAAAGGATCGATCTATCAGGAAGACATAACGATCCTAAATATATATATGCACCTAACAATACAGACCAAAAACACATGAAGTGACACCTGATAGAGCTGGCAGGAGAAATAAACAAATCCACATTTATAGTTGGGAATTTCAACACACCACCCTTGGCAACTAGTAGAACTACTGCACTAAAAATCTGCAAGGCTATAAAAGAACTAAACAACAAAATCAACCAATGGAATTTAACTGACATAATAGGACACCCACCCAATCACAGCAGAATAAACAACTGTTTAATTATCCATGGAATATTCACCAGAGATCATGTCTTGCACCAGGAAACAAATTTCAATAGTTTGAATGACTCCATTATGAGCAAAGAGACACCACTTTGTATAATTCAAACTAGAAATAAGGGGAAAAAAAGAGTAAAAACAAGAAAATCTCTAAACACTTGAAAACTAAACAATATACTTCTAAATAAAACAAGGGTCAAAGAAAAAGCCTCAATAGAAATGATTAAAAATACACAGAACTATTTGAAAATGAAAATACGACATATCAAAATATGTGGGATGAAGCTAAAGCAGTACTCACAAGGAAGTTTACATACTAAATGCTTAAGTTCAAGAAAAAGGTCTAAGAATTAATAATCCAGCCTCCTAACACAAGATACTAGAAGCTAATCAGGTACTAGAAAAACAAAACCAAAATAAGCAGACAGAAATAATGTAAGAACAAAAATCAGTCACATTGGAAAGAAGAAAGCAACACAGAAAAATCAATGAAAAAAATAATTATTTTTTGAAAATAAACCATAAGACAATAAAGGAAACAAAGACAACATACCAAGATAAGGAATAAAGCAGGGGATATCATTATAGATCCTGTAGCCATTCAAAGAATAATAGAATGCTATGAGCAATTTTATGCTCATATGTTTGACAACGTGGAAGAAATGGACCAAATTTTTAAAAACCATAAACTATCAAAAATAATCTAATTTTATGTCCATGGATTAGAAGACACTAATATTGTTGAAGTGACAATATGTATTACTAAATGTAATCCCTACCAACATCCTGATAACACTTTTTGAAGAAATAGACAAAACAATCCTAAAATTCATATGGAATCTCCAAGAACCTCCAATAGCCAAAACAATCTTGAAAAATAAAAACTTACTAAAAGATTCACCCCTCCTCATTTTAAAATATAGTACAAAGCTACAGTTATGAAAACAATGTGTTATTGGCATAAAAACAGACATATAGACCAATGAAATAGAAAACAAAGTCTAGGAACACACCCTTGCTTATATGTTCAATAGATTCTTTTTTTTTTTTTTGAGACAGAGTTTCACTATGTCACCCTCAGTAAACTGCCATGGCATCACAGCTCACAGCAACCTCAAACTCTTGGGCTTAAGCGATTTTCTTGTCTCAGCCTCCCAAGTAGCTGAGACTACAGGCGTCCATCACAATGTCCAGCTATTTTTTTGTTGTAGTTGTCATTGTCGTTTGGCAGGTCCGGGCTGGGTTCAAACTGTCAGCTCCAGTGTATGTGGCTGGCGCCCTAGTCACTGAGCTACAGGCACCAAGGCCTGTTCAACAGATTCTTAACAAAAACATCAAGACCATTCAGTGGGGAAAGGACAGTCTTTTCAACAAATAATACTGAGAAAATTGGATATTCACATGCAAAAAAATGAAGTTAGACCCCAACCTTATGCCATGCAGAAAAATCAATTCAAAATAAATCTAAACCATAAATGTAAGTGCTGAAATTATAAAACTCAGAAGAAAACATTGGAGAAATGCTTCATGACACTGGATTTGGTAATGATTTCTTGGCCATGACACCAAAAGCACAGGCAGCAAAAACTAAATTAGTCTTCACCAAAGTTAAAAACTTTTGTGTATCAAGGGACATTATCAAGAGAGTGAAAAGACAAATCAGAAGAATAGGAGAAAATGTTTGCCATTCATACATTTAATAAAGGATTAATTGCTATACTATATAAAGAACTTCTATAATTCAACACAAAAACAAGCAACCTGATTTTAGAATGGACAACAGACTTGAATAGACATATCTCCAAAGAAGATATACAAATGGCCAATAAGCACATGAAAAGACACTCAGAGCCACATCATAAGGGAAATGCAAATTTTAATAGCAATGAGATACAACTTCACAGCCATTAGGATGGCTATTGTTAAAAAACATTAAAATAACAAATGGTGGTGAGGACATGAAAAATTAGAAACATGGTACCTGCTGGTGGGAATGCAAAATGGTACAGCTGCTAAGGAAAGTTCCTCAAAATGTGAAACACAGAATTACTATATAATTGGGCAATTTCAGTTCTAGGTACATGCCCATGTGAATTAAAAGCAGAGACTCAAACAAATACTTGCACACCAACATTTATGACAGTTTTATTTACAACAGCCAAAAGGAAAAAACAAAAATAACTGAAATGTCCTTTGACATACGAATGGATTAAAAAAATACTGTAGGTACATATGATAAAATATTATTCAGCCTTCAGTGAATGAAATTCTGATATATGCTACAACACATATAAACCTGGAAAACATCACATAAGTGAAATAAACCAACACAAAAGGACAAATATTGCATGATTCCACTTATATGATGTATCTATTATGGAATGGGCAAATTTTTACAGTCAGAAAGTATAATAGAGATTACCAGGGGCTGCTGGAAAGGAGGAATGGGGATTTTCTATAGAGGTATAGAGTATAGAGTTTCTGGTTTGAAATGATAAAAAACATTCTAGAAATATATAATGGTGATGGTTGCACAACACATATGTATGCTCCATGTTCATGGATTCAACCAACTGTGGGCCAAAAATATTCAAAAAACAATAAAACAATTATTAATATACAATTTTTTAAAATACAGTATAACAATTATTTACAACATTTGCACTATATTATGTATTATGAGTAATTTAGACCTATAAGTAAATTAGATCTCCCATTTGATCCTGCAATCCCATTACTAGGCATCTGCCCAGAAGAAAAAAAAAATTAATCTTGTTGTTTATTTTCCTGACTTGTTTAAATGAGTCTTTTGTAAGAATCAGATGGCATTATGCTTGTTGTACAATGCTATACTGGTACAGAAACAGTACTGTATGATATATTTATAAATATCATAATGAAAATATTGTGTTTCATGTACTTAGAAATGGTTGTTAAAATTTTCCAAACTACCTTGACTTTTGAAGATATCCAGAGAACTAAAAATAGACTTGCCATTTGATCCTGCAATTCCTTATTAGGTATATATCTAGAAAACCAAAAACCACATTACAACAAAGATATTTATATCAGAATGTTTACTGCAGCCCAATTCATAACTGCCAGGTCATGGAAGAAGCCCAAGTGCCCATCAATCCACGAATGGATCAATAAACTCTGGTATATGTACACCATGGAATACTATGTAGCCATAAAGAAAGATGAAGACTTTATGTCCCTCATGTTTACATGGATGGAGCTGGAAAATGTTCTTCTTAGCAAAATATCACAAGAATGGAAGAAAAAGTATCCAATGTACACAGCCCTATTATGAAACTAATTTATAGCTTTCATATGAAAGCTATAACCTAATTATAACCTAAGAAAATGGGGAGGAGGGAGGGGGAGAGGTGGGAAGGGGTGGATGGGTGGAGGGAGGGTGATTGGAGGGATCACCTCTATGGTTTATCTTTCAAGGGTACAAGTGAATGTTTCTAAAAGTAGAATATAAATGCCTTAACACAATAACTGAGAAAAAGACAAGAAGGCTACGTTAACCAGTTTGATGAAA